TCTCAAATAGGTAGTTCTGAATTCCAGCTTATATAGCATCTTCAACAAATAGCAGTAAAGTTTTTGAGAAGTAACAAGACAATGGAAAAGGGGTCACAACTTGTGGGAAGACAAATAAATGGCAGAGAAAGGCTAGGTGACAAAGGATGTTAATGTAGATTCCTCTGGTACCATCTCCAGGCTGATAAGGGTTTAAAGTTGTCTTCAGGGGCTGACTGGTTAGCTCAGTTGGTTGGAGCGTGGTGCTGCTAACACCAAGGTCCAGGGTTCTATCACTGTACTGGCCAGCTGCCAATAATAATAATAATAATAATAATAAAGTTGTCTTCAGTGATTAACTTTTGTTCTCCCTGGCAGAATGGGGGTTGGAGAGGAGTACCATGTGATATTTTTTGTCTCTGTAAATCTATATCTTGCTTTTAGGCAAAGAGAGGGAAGGCAGAAAGTTTTCCTGCATCTGTCTCTCCTTAATTGCCTTCAGACCAATAATCCTCATGCAGAAGAGGCATATTCCAGGGTGGCATCTTCTGGTCTCCCACAGGGTTCGGTGGTCAAGAGCATACAAAGATAACCCTTCTAAGGTGAGAGACAAATTACTGCAATTTGCACTGCCTATCTCAAAGAAAAAAGTACAACACTGGGCAGGTTTTTTGGATTTGTGAGGCAATGTTTGTGTGTGCAACTTTGATCCATCTACAGAGTTACCCAGAAGGCTGCCTACTTTGAGTAGGTACCAGAGCAAGGGAAGGCAATGGAGTGAGTTCAGGCCGCAGTACAAGCTGCTCTACCATTAACTAGGTCATAGTCCTTCAACACTAACCGCTATTGCATTGTCTCCCATCCCTGAATTCAAGCCCATTGTCCCTGGTATGTTCCTTATGACCAACTAACCGAGGAGGAACAAACTTGAGCCTGGCTTACAGATAATCTGCCTAATACGCTGGTGCCACTCAAAAGTGGACAGCAGCAACATTACAGCATCACCCAGGGATGAACCTGAAGGACAATGGTCAGAACTTCAAGCAGTGCAGTTTTGTTGTCCACCGTCTGGAGTGAGAGGTGGCCAGAAGTATGGATCTATACTAATTTATGGGTAGTTGCTAAATCTTTGGGTGGATGCTTAAGGACTTGGAAGAAACAAGACAGAAAGATTCATGACAAGGAAGTTTGGGAAAGAAGTATGTGGATGGACCTCTTAGAATCTGCACAGCCTGTGAAGATATTTGTGTCCCTTGAGAATGCTCGCAACAGGGCATCCATTGCAGAGAAGATTCTTAATAATCAGGTAGGCAAAATACTTGTGAGGATGTCAGTCAGCCTCTTTCCCCAGCTAGCTTAATGCTTGCTCAAAGAGTTATAAACAAAGTGGCGATGGTGGCAGGGACGGAGGCTATGCATGGGCTCTACAACGTGGGTTTCCCCTTACCAAGGCTGACCTCGCTACTGTTACTGCTGAGTGCCTAATCTGCCAACAGCAGAGACCAACGGTGAGCCCCAAAATGGCACCATTCCCCGGGGGATCAGCCTGCTACCTGGGGGCAAGTTGATTCCTTTGCACCTCTTCCATCATGAAGAGGGCAAAGATTTGTCCTCACTGGAATAGATAGATATTCTGGATATGAACTTGCTTCCCTGCCTTTAATGATTTTGCTATCACTTCCATCTGTGGACTCAGAGAATGCTGATCCACCATCACAGCATTCAACACAGCATTGTGCCAGATCAAGAAACTCATTGCAAAGAGAAGGAAGGGCAGCGATGGCCTGTGCCCATGGAACCAACTGACCTCACCGTATCATCAGCTGGAAGCGACTGGACTAACCGAAAGGTAGAATGAGCTTTCACAAGTCAGTTACAGTGCCAACCCAACTGGGAAACAATACCCCCAAAAGAGAAGATTCTGTCTTATAGGATACAGGGTATGCTTTGGATTAGAGACCACCCTGTGGTGCTGTTCCCGCCCCCCCCTCCCCCCACTGTGAGAGTTTATGGTTCTGGGAATCAAGGGTAAGAAGTGGGTGGGAATGGCTCCAGACAGTGAGAAATAATTTTTTCCTCTATAAATTGCCCCAGTCTGTGGTATTCTGTTATAAGCAACACCAGACAGATTAAGAAACACCCCATGGGTTGCCCATTGCAGACTCCCCTGCTGCACTCTGGAGGACTGCCTGTTTTTTGCCCACAACTCCAGACCAGCTCCAGCCTAAACTAGCAAACGTCTCTCCTAGCTGGTGGCCAAACGACACCTTCCCCAACATGGTCTAAACCTCTTCCAAATCTCTCCTTCCTTTTGGGTACCCTCCTGCAACCCCCAAATACTATAGTTTCCTTATATCTTCTAGTTACTCTTTTATCATGGGCTATAATTCCCTATATTAAACTTCACCGTTTAACCTATTGGGTGGGTTTTCTTTCTGAAAAGATTTTATTCTGCACAGAGGGGAGAGTCCTTGGCAGCCGCTTTCCGCATGGCAGCCAGGACATTGCTCAGCTCCTCTCGCTCCGCCCTTTCCTTGATGAACTTGAGGGTCCATTTGTCCCCAGAGACCTTGAGCAGCTCCGCGGTGCAGTCGGTGCGGTGCTCGTAGGGGGCAAAGCCAAACGCCTCTCAGATCTTGTCCCTCTGAACTCTGTATGCTTGGTGGGGCGCCCCGCAGCAGCTGTGCCTCGGCTTCTCACATTCTTGGTCACCTGTGTCCCTTGTTGAGGCCATGGCTGTTGCAGCGGAATACTACTGGGTGGTTTCTATCTCTTGATTGGACCCAGACGGCTAGAGTACTTGTACCATTTTGCATTCTCACCAGCAACGTGTGTGTCACACTTGTCGTGCATCCTTACCCACATTTAGTATAACCAGTCTTTTAATTTTAGCCACCCAGTAGGTGTATAGTAGTGTCTCATTGTGGTTTTAATTTGAACTTTCCTTATGACAATTGATGTTGTGAGGTTGAGCATTTTACAAAGTGGGTAACGATGTGTAACTCTGGGAAATTTTTGAATGGATTAATAAAAATTAAGTATATTAGTATTAAATAATGAAATTAAGCAAAAAATATTAAAACAATCACAACCACGGTGTTAACTTTTTTTGCGTTAGGAAATCTGTGAATTTAATGTTTGAAGAATTTATAATATTTAAGGTAAACTGACCTATTCAAATAACAGTCAATCTTATAATTCCAATTTAAAATGTGGAATACAGGCTGTCCTGTTAGCTCAGTTGGTTAGAGGGCAGCCTAATAGCACCAAGGTCACGGGTTTGGATCCCCATACCCGCCAGCCACCAAAAAAAAAAAAGTGGAATTCAGTTAGTGACTAAGACTTTTAGATGAAATCTTACTAAGTGCACTATGGGAACAATGAATGGAATATAAGATTCACCCCATTTACAAGTATATAATTTTAGGTGAATAAAACTTATTTAAGGGGGCTGGCTGGTTAGCTCATTTGGTTAGAGCACAGTGTTGTAACACCAAGATCAAGGGTTTGGATCCCCCAACTGGCCAGCACACACAAAAAAATTTAAATACTGCTTAAATACTGAGCTAACCTGCCAGTCCCTTATTTAAGTATTGAGGAGTCATCTGTTAAGTCAGCCCACCGTTGTTCTTAAATGGAAAAATCTAATCTAATCTTCTATCACTAAAGTCACCACCAAAGAAAGCCTTCACTAGATGTGTTCCCTGGACTTTGGACTTCCAGCCTCTGAAACTGTAAGCAACAAATTTTGTTTCTTTATAAAATTTTTAAAAATTTTTAAAAATTGACAAGCATAGTGTGAAAATGTTGAGAATTTAATTAAGTTATAAAAACCCTCTTTAAAAGAGATTGTTAAAACCTTTTAGAGTGGGCCAGGATCATCACTGGTGGCTAAAACCATTAGGGCAACTGTGCTCCACTCTGGCTGCACATTAGAATCAGCCAGAATTAGACAGCAATAAATAAAGATCCATAATTTATTTCTTAACCATCATAGGGTAAGTTATAGATATGATACCCTTTTACCCCCAAATACTTCAGCATATATTTCCTAAAAATAAGGACACTCTCTTACAAAACCACAGTACAATTATAAAAATCAGGGCATTAATATTGATACAATGTCTAATCCACAGGCCTTATTAAAAATTCACCAATTGTCTCAATAATCAAAAGAAAAAAATGTAAATGTGTTTTGCTGATCCAAGATGCAATCCATAAGTTGTGAATCGTTGGGTTTTTCCTTTTTAAGTTCTTATCTGTTAGAGATGCATATTTAAGTATGGGATATGTTGTTGGGATTGGCTTTAAAATATATCAATTTTTAAAAAAAGAGTGGAGGAGATAAATGAAAAATATATAATGGTGGTAATCGTTGAAGTGGGTGATAGGCCCAAGGATGGGGATTCATTATACCTTTCTCTTTACTTTTGTCTATGTTTGAAACTTTCCTTGATAGAACGAAAATTAACTAAATATAAAAATATTTAATATACGAACCTTACCGCTCAAAAAAAAAAAAAAAAAAGTAAGAATAATGGCTCTTGTTTTTAATGTGCAACTACTGTGTTAGCTCAGTTATGCTCCCATACGAGCTCACTTCATGCTCACAAACCTCTGAGGAATATCCTGACTTAGCCCTAACGTTACAGATAGAGAAACTAAGGCCCGGAGGTGCAATCACTCACTATGTAGCTAGAACAAAGAGTTCGAACCCTAGTTCATCTATTTCTTCATTCGCTCTCCAGAGAGATCGGGAAGGAATTGCATTTGCTCCAGGCGGACATCTCCCCAGAAACAATCCAAAAAGGAATCCCCTGGTACCGCTTCCTTCTCGGCTTGCACCAGCAGAAATTCTGAGATGAGAAACAGATGGACGATCCTACCACGGGGTACCGGGACTGGGTGGGAACGTCTTCTCCGCACGCCTATTGGACAAATCCGTTCGCGTCCACCCAGCTCCCAACCCAGCCCCAGCCCGGGCCACGTCCCCTAGCTGTCGTGCCGCGCGCGGCGGGTGTGGCCTGGGATTCCCCCGGAGGGGAGGGCACTGTTTGTCCTTGGGCGGAGAGGGGAGGTGACTCCGGCCGAAGAGGAGGACGCAGAATGAGGGTCCTGCGGGTGAGGGCCCCTAACCCGAAGCCCTCGCCTTAATACGCGACTGCCTAAACATCCCTCCTTAACAGCCTGGGACCTCTCCCCCCAACCCAAGTTTCCGAGGCAGCCGGGGACCCCTAACATGGCCCAAAGTCCCGGGTTTTAACCTCTTCCCTTCATCCAGGGCTCCCTTAAAATTTGGGGGCCTAGGTACAGGGAGTTTAACACCCCTACCCGGGACTTCTTAGGCACTCTGGCAACTCCCTAGGGACCTCCCATCCAGTCCTAACGTTTCTGGGACCTAGTTTCCTCCCATTAATCCTGGAGCACCCCCGCCGCAAACAAAACAAAAACCTCAGGACTTGGACCCGCAGAACACGAGTCTCCCTTCTGGGTCCTCTCCCCTTTCAGGACCCTCGAGACAGCCGGATAACCTCTAAGCCAGACCCTCTCGGCGCGGGTCCCCTTCTGGGTCTTTTTTGACAGGAGCCTGCTCCCCGCCCCCGCTGCCAGTTCGAATACTGTCTTTGCTACGCTCCCCAGGGGGCGCCCCAACCCCATCCGCCTCCTTCTCCGGCAGGTCTCCCAGGCGCTGATTCGCTCCTTCAGCTCAACCGCCCGGAACCGCTTCGAGAACCGAGTGGCGGAGAAACAGAAACTCTTCCAGGTAGGCGGAGCGAGGGCAGGAGCGAGGGCAGGGCCCCGGGCGGGCCGCAGGCTGGGTCTGGAGCCGAGCCCCGGGCAGGCGCGGGATGCAGGAGACAGGCTGTGGAGCAGCCGGCACCCCTTTCTTACCGGATACCCCACACCCAGGCGGACAATGACCTCCCAGTGCACTTGAAGGGCGGGGCAACCGACAACGTCCTGTACAGACTGACTATGGCGCTGTGCCTAGGAGGTGAGTGCAGGGCCGAGCCAGCCACAGCTGCAGGGGGAGGAGGCGCGGCTCGAGGGGGCCGGCTTCCCCGGCTGGGGTTTGGGGATAGGATCGACTAGCGTCTGGCTAACGGATTGGCGTTTAGGGGCGGGGTTGAGTCCTAAGCTGGCCAGGTGTGGGGATGGGACTGGAGTTGGGACTGGAGTTGGGACTGGAGGCGTCTGGAGTTGGGGCCGGAGTATAGGGAGGGCTTGGTCTTCTGTCCCAGGAGAGGAGCTGGACTAGTGATGGGCCTGGGGCCCAGGCAGGAGTTAAGGAGAAAGCTCCCAGCCTGGTCTGGATCAACGTCAGGGGGTTCCTCACCTGGAGTCCAGTTTGGGAAGGGAACTGGAGCCTGACCTGGAGCTGGGATCCAGACTGGTAATTGGGGAGCCCGCAGAAGGGCTTAAAAGCCCCAGATGAGGTTCAGGGAGGGGATTAGGGTCTCATCATGTGTCCTTCCTAGGTACTGTCTACAGTTTGTACTGCCTTGGCTGGGCCTCCTTCCCCCACAAGAAGTGAGACCAAGAAGCTTGGAGGACCTAGGGTACTTGGACAAGCATCAATAAATGTGTTGGCCTGTTTGTGCATGTGCCCATCCTAACCCCAGCCAGGGATTCTGCCCCGTGGACAGCCCATTGCCCCAGCACTTGGTCCATGCTAGACCAGGGTTACCCCCAGGATGTTGCCGCCTCATAGACCTCCCCTGAGGACCCCAAACAGCACCCCTCGGCTGCCACTTGGAGCCTGGGGACTTGGGGTGGTGTCCTCCAGTGGGACAGGGGCTCTGTATCTTGGGACAGCAAGCCTCCCCCTACTGAGACCCCAGGGTGAGAAGGAGGGCACTGAGCATGGTCCATCACACAACAGAGGGAGAGACAAGTGAGGACAGAGACTGACTCAAGGACTGAAGCTGAAAGAGGGGCAAACATGACCTTGGGGGACAGAACCAGAGATGGCATTGAGAATTCTCACCAGCCTGGGCTCTGGAAGCTGAAGTGGAGATTGCCCAGGTTTCTGGGTGAGAGATCTCAGGAAGAGCTCAATTGGAATCCAATATGAGAAAAGAGATGCAGACAAGAAGAAGACTAGAAGATATGTAGATCCAGCCCTGGGAATAGACATGGAGACAAATAACACCCCCCCACCCCACTTCCCCAGAACCCGAGTCAGCCCTCAACTCTCAGAACAGGAGGCAGATCCCATAGAGAGCAGCAACTGGGGAGCATTTATTTCCTCCTGGGCCTGGCAGGCTGGAAGTAGAATACAAAGGCACTGTGGGCCTCAAGAGGCCTAGAGTTTGGCTGCCTGGGAGGTAACTGTGAATGGGTGTGCCAGGGTGTGCAGGGACTGGAGCGATCTCACGAACTGCGAGACGACCCTTGGGGCATGGAAGCCACACAAATGTTGGGCTTGGCACAGGTACAGGAGAGAGGTTATGGAGCTGGTGGGTGCAAGAGGGATGGGGTGACCCTTGGGCAGAGCACGCTAGAGTGTCTTAGAGACAGGAGTAACTCAGGGCATGGAGTGTTAGGGCATCCTGGGCCCTGGCTACTGACTGAAAAGCTGGGTGCCAAGGACTGGGAGAACGAAAGGACTGTGGGTCAGCAGGACCCATGAAGACGTGACTGCAGACAGGATCAGCCCTGGGAGAGAGTGAAGGATCCAAAATGGCTCCTATAGCAAGGCAGTGAGGGGGCAGGTCTGGGGTTCTCATTCAGGAATACATAGTCAGCTGCAGCCACTGGAGAGAGAAAGGCAGAGAGAGAATGAGGAGCAGAGAACCCCAGAATAGCAGACCCCCTTCTCTGCCCTTACCCAGGGGTTGTTGGGAAAACGGGGGAGGAGGCCAAAGCTCAGCTGGTACACAGGGCTGAGGGGTGGCGTCACACCCCAGGATACGGGTTCTTACCTCCTGGATGTTCACCTGGATTTGTCCTGTGCCATCTTTGTCAAGAGATTTGAAGGCACCTGGAAGAGAAAGGAAGGTTGGGGGTTGGGGGGGGGGCATAGCTTTTAGGATAATAATATTATACTAATATATGGAATGATGATTATAATAGCTAGCTAACACTTCATTTGAGTATTTACTATTTGTGTAAAATGATTTCCATGTATTAACTCATTTAATCCAATTCTGTGAGATAAGTGTCATTTTAAAATGAGGCATAGAGAAGTGAAATGAGAAGTGGCTGCCCCAGGTCACAAAGCAAGAAAGAGGAGAAATGGGATTGGAACCCAAGCTGTTACCACCTCAGTCATGGCCTCCACATTCTGACCTGTCCTCCCCACAACCCCAACCCCAGCCTCCCAGACATCTATGCTCCATTCTCTCCAGTTCCAACCTAAACGGGTTACTGGAAGGAGGTTCTGCAGGCTCTACTTCCCCTGGAGTCTGGGGTGGTCCCCACTTCTTCCTTGAAACTCAACTCCATGTGTCCCACCCACAGCCAAACCTAGGCAAAGGGGTATCTACTGTCTCTGTTCCTCTCTCACTTACCACTCGGTTACCACCCTCAGGCATCCACACACAGGATGTCCTGGACACTGCACTAACCGCATTTACTACTGGCCTTCTTGCCAGCAGATCCAATGGCCATTTCTTGGACCTTCTCATATGTGACTTTCAACATCATCTGCCCTGTTGTCCACACCCTTCCCTGACATCTCATATATCTGCCTCTTTTCCTCTATCAGGCTCTTAATGCACTGTCCTACCTGGGCTCTCGGGAAGCCAAGAGATCTTCCTGAAGACAAACCTTACCCTGTCCCTTCTCTGCCTAGAAACTGCCATGGCTCTCCAGTGCCCCTGGTAGAGTCTGAGCACTCCTGAACATGACACTCATAGCCCTGTACAGCTTGACCATGCCCACTGCTCCTGCCTCCTCTCACTCACCTCAGCTCCGATTTCAGACAGATCCAAGTTCAAATCTTGACCTTACAACTTCTGGCTGAGTGGTTGTGAGCAAGCAATTTTGCCTCCTTGAAACCCTGGGTTCCTCCTCCATAAAATGGGGACAGTAATTCCTACTCGGGGATGTCTTAAAGATTCAGTACATTAACGCTCATAAACGCCCCCATGATCAGTCCCTACTGACCCCTCCCAGCCTTGTGCCTCCCCATCTCACTGCCTTTTAGTACTATTTCAACTAAGAGTCCAAGAAAAATCACCAAAAGCATCATGTCCTCTTTCCCTTCTAGGCCTCTGCACAGGCTACTCTCTCAGCCTGCAACACAATTTCCTACCCTCTTACTAGGTTCACTCCTCCTCATTTCTCAGGTCTCAACTCACATGTGCCCTCCTCCAGGGAGCCCTCTCTGTCCTCTTAGGTTGCATCAGGTGTCTCCTAGGTTTGAGTAGCCCTCTGGGCTTCCCCAACCACAGTCTGAACACACTCTGCCTATGCTTTCCCCATCACAACCCCACCACTGCCCTGAGCTTTCCCCTTGCAGCCCCGATCACTTGGACTAGGCTTCCCCTATCTAGGCTGTAACTAGTCTGAGCTGTCACTGTCGGGTGACTTGTCTCTCTTCTACTGGACTATGAGCTCTGTGAGGGCAGGAACTGGGGCTGTTCCGGTCACTGCTGTGCCCCTAGCATTGTCCACCTCAAGGTCAGACTTAGAGGAGACCTTGGCCAATGGAGGTTGAATAAATCCCCACCCAGGAGGACATCTGGGGTGTGTCACTCACGGAACATGGCATCCAGCCTGACCAAGCAGCTGATGAAGTTGTCAAAATCCATGTTCCCTCCCTCATCTGAGTAGCGTCGGATGATCATGTTGTAGAGATGCTCATTCAGGTGGAACCCTGAGAATTGTTTAGTCCTTCAGGTGTGGTGGCCACATGGTCCAACCCTCTCCCCTCCCAAGGTTTCAGGCTCAGAGCAGCTCAGTGGGGGGCTTCATCAATCCCACTCCTAGCCCCACCCTGTCCCTGCTGGCCATACCTGCTGCCTCAAAGGAGCCCGGGAGCTCACTGCTGCAAATGGTCCCTGAGCGGTCAACATCAAATTGTTTGTATATGGCCTGTGGGCACAGAGAGGTCAGTGTCCAACTGAGCATCATGGGGCACAGAATCTCCATGGCTGGGGGTCTGGGTGCTAGGAGGTTCAGAGGTTGCTACACACCTGCCACTTTTTGATGTTGTTCCACAGGTACTTGAATTCCTCAAAGCCCAGCTTGCCTGTGGTATCACTCTGGTGGGAGGGTGTTAAGTAAAGTGTGACAGCTGTACCCAGATGTGTGTACTGTATGTACCGTGTGTATGCAATGATACAGCAAGCAGGCTCCTGTCCAACCCTAGTCATGTCACCTGGGGTATGTTATTTTTTGTTTTATCCATACATATTTCAGTTTGTATTTCTAAATAAGAACTCTCTAAACATCACCATGGAGAATTATATTGAATTTCTCCAAACCACTAATTCTTTACCAGAAAGAGCTGCTAATTTCTCATTTATAAAATTCTGGATAGTAAACCCAATTTCATACATGTTAGGACAAGGCTGGCCAGTTAGCTCATTTGGTTAGAGCATGGGGCTGATAACACCAAGGTCCAGGGTTAGATCCCTGTACCAGCCGGCCACCAAAAATAAATAAATAAATAAATATTAGGGCATGTAAAAAACAAGTGTCTTTAAGGAAGTAAGGTGATGGTAAGCACCTGCTGGGTCTGTGATAAAAACAGAATGAGCTTTTGGTATAAAGCCCTTAGCTCAGGGCCTGGCACTTAATAAAGTCTCAATAAATAACAATGATGGCTAAGACTTGTCAAGTTATCTAGTACACACTAGACACTGCTAAGCTCCTTAGCAACATCACTCTTCTGACTAAATCCTTAGGACGCCAGCCTTATCAGGATTATTCCCAGAGGACAAAGATTCAAAGCTGAAAAATCTACCTAAGATCATAGTAACAGCTAATGTGTACAGACCACTTACTATGTGCTATGCACTCTGCTAAACCTTTTACATGTAGCTCCAATTCAGTATCACCATTATCACTCCCCCCATTTTATAGATGGAAAAATTGAGGCATAAAGAAGCTCAGTAACCTGGCTAAGGGTTTGAGCTGCAAGTGATTCACTCTGTGCAGTGCATGTGATCACATGCTATGTACATATGTGTGTGTCTATTGCCCTATGTGCTGAGTGTGTAAGTATGTGAGATTGGTTAATGACTGGCCTGTGTGCAAACGTGTGTCCCTGTGCA